GCCAACTGAACAATCTTGTCTCCTGGAGTAGGAAATGCCCCGGCAGCTGGGGTATGTAAAGAGAGGCTGGAAGTCCACCTGGGATCCTAGGAGATTTCTTGTAGTAGTGAAAGATGAGAGATAAACTCTCAACTTCAGATTCTGTGGTCCTCAGTGCCACCTTGCTGCTGTCTGACCTCCCATGTGCAGTGGCCAGCCCCATTCCAGCCTGAACATGCAGCAGGCTTTCTCTAAAGTAAGACATTGGTCCACCCTGGAAGATTCCAAGCAAAGCTATCACAGATCTCAGCTTTGGACCAAGAAGGAATTCCTAGGTTTGGACCTAGTAGGTATCATACCAGCATTGCCACACTACTCTCTAGATAGAACTTTGCATTCTCAATGGAACTTTCTGCAATTATGAAGATGTTCTGTATCTGCACTGTCCATTATGGTAGCCAGTAGCCACCATTGTAGCTGCTGAACACTTGGGATGTGGCTAGTGCAACCAAGGAATCTTTCATTTTAATGTAATTAATTTCAGTTTTAGTACCCACAAATAACCAGCGGCTGCCATATTGGACAGTGCAGTTCTAGAGAATCCCAAGCCAGGATTGATCTTTGGACTCAGCCCAGAATAGCTGTAGCCTTGAACCTTCCCCCAGAGCTGAACTGGTCCCAACCTAACCTCAGAATCAGATAGCAGCCAATATCCAACAGGCCCATTCGCCCCAGATCAGACATTGTTACTACCAGGGCTAGAAGCAAGAGGCCAGTCAGTCAGTGTAGAGGTGCCTGTTGCATGAGCCCCCGCCTCAATTCTAAAAGGAGCTCATTGGAGACATTTGAGATCCAGAGACAGGTGGCCAGGGACCCCTAAAGAGGGAATGTCTTGTGCCCTGCTTCTGATAACAGGCAAAGCAGATGAGGGGGCATTTCTTTTTTTTTTTTTCTTTTGTGTTTTGCCTTCCTTAGAGCCATAGGTAAACACACAATCACCATGGGAGAGATTTCGAAAGCTGGGGCCCAGGTGACCAAGGGAGGCTCCTTCCCTCTCTCCAATTACAGTTAAGTAGTTCAGAGAAGTGGACCTGGACTCCCGCTGGGTCTATTGGATCAGGTAGAAGATACATTAACACCTAGTTACCACTGCTCCACCAGAAAACAGTGATAATTGTTCCAAACTCCTCTCCTCTTTAGCTTTCCTTGTGGAGAGCACATCCTCTCCAGACAGATGGGTATCCATAGAAGGGCACAAGACAGCTGACCTCTGAACCTCCAGTTCCGTAGCCACTCTGAAATGCAGACAGGCAAAGCTGTTACATGAGCCTTGATTAAATAAGTCTCAAAGGTGGTATGGCCTGGGTGCCCGTAACCCAGTGCTTAGAGTACCAGCCCTGTGCATCAGGGGTGGCAGGTTTGAACCCGGCCTGCTAAACAAACAAAACAAAAAAGGTGGTATTTGTACCTGGCGGTGTAACAAATCTGACATTCCAACCTAAAGAACAAACTAGCTGGGCACGGTGGCTCATGCCTATAATCCTAGCACTCTGGGAGGCCTAGGTAAGTGGATACTCTGAGACCAACCTAAGCCAGAGTGAGACCTCATCTCTAAAAGTAGCCAGGCATTGTGGTGGGTGCCTGTAGTCCCAGTCCTCAGTCGGGAGGCTGAGGCAAGAGAATCACTTGAGCACAAGAGTTTGAGGTTGCTGTGAGCTATGACACCACAGCACTCTACCGAGGGTGACCAAGTGAAACTCTGTCTCAAAAAATAAAAATAAAAATAAAGAAAGAAAGAACAACCTGAATTCAGTTATTCATGACAGTGAAGCGAGGATTTCTCACTGGAGTAAAAAAAAAAAAAAAAATTCTTTAGCCACCAGTTCAGCCTGTTTCCCACCCAGATGTTTTCATACAGATGTTTTCTCTGCTGAGAAAAAGGATACTGGTCACAAGTACAGAATCCAAAGCCAGCCAGCCTGGATCAGTTTCTGATCCTGCCTAGTATTTGTGTGACCTTAATGTCATTAAGCCTCTGTTTCTTCATCTGTAAAATGGAGATAACATTGATACCTCTTCATGAGGTTGTGGTAAGGGTTAAATAGGACCTGTCATATAATAAAGATTCCATCAATGTATGGTTATTATTATTACTGTTAGTACATTCACTTTAGAATAACTTTGACATGTATTTGAAATAAAATTTTTTTCAGCTGTCTAAAAGAAACCCGTGTCCTAACGTTGTCTTGATCCACAGCTCTTTGAACACACATCATCTTTGCTCACTTATTCCTAGGTCATGAAGGGCGAATTGGCATGGCTTCGATCAAGATGAAAGAAAACCAGCAATTTGATGGAAAGAAACTCTTCCAGCACATTGCTGATTATCTGCCTGCTTATGCAAGGCCACGGTTTCTAAGAATACAGGTGAGATTTCTGGTTATTGAGTTCAGTTATCTTCTGTCTCAGAGATCCCTGCTTCTTAGATAACACCTCCCCTTCTCCTAAGAGTGGTCACATTTGCCAAATTTTCACTACCCTTTCCAGGAAGCTCAAAAAGACTTCGTGGATGGGTAAGGAAACATAAATACCAGAAAATATGGCTAGCAGAAATCCAATCCTAATCCCTTTCTCCCTAAACTGACGAGCCAGTTTATCCAGCAGCAGTCTTAGCAAATAACTCACAAAGGCTGTGTTTAATGAGGTGTGACAGACACTTCAGGCCGAAACGTTCTGATTTGTCATTTCCAGTTTTAAAGAATGGAAAAATCCACTGACGTCCTACACTTGTGTATGGTGTGAAATTTAATTGGACATCATTAGCCAGGTGGAACCACCAAGACTTACCTATCACCATTAGAGGGATTTTTTTTTCTTCCTCAATTATTAACCCTTTGGTTAGTTTAACACTCTTACTTTTGGACTTTAAGCTCTTTGTTTAGCTGAAGACTTGAGAAAAAAAGTCTCCATATTCCAGATATTGTTGTGTATACAGTTACAACTATTTAAATTGCACACAGACTTTATGGCCACCCTGTACAGGGTTTTTTAAAGACAGAGTCTCAGTTGGTCACCCTTGGTAGAGTGCTATGTCGTCTTAGCTCATCGCAACCTCAAACTCTTGGGTTCAAGTGATCCTCTTGCCTCAGCCTCCCAAGTAGCTGGGACTACAGGCATCCGCCACAATGCCTGGCTGTTTTTTTTAGAGACGGGATCTCGCTCTGGCTCAGGCTGGTCTCAAACCTGTGAGCTCAGGCAATCCACCTGCCTCAGCTTCCCAAGTGCTGTGATTATAGGCATGAGCCACCACACCCTGCCTGGATAGGGTTATTTCTATTGATGCTCATAAAACACTGACATTTGCTTTGCAACTACATGGTTAAGAGACATGAAAATGAAATATCTTCGGATATTTTAATTAACATACTAATTGGCCAGGCATGGTGGCTGATGTCTGTAGTCCTAGCACTTTCGGAGGCTGAGGTGGGAAGATCGCTTGAGGCCAGGAGTTCAAGACCAGCCTAAGCAAGAATGAGACCCTGTCTCTACAAAAAATAGAAAAATTAGCTGGGTGCTGGGTGTAGTGGCTCATGCCTGTAATCCTAGCACTCTGGAAGGCTAAGGTAGATGGATTGCTTGAGCTCAGGAGTTTGAGACCAGCCTGAGCAAGAATAAGACCTGTCTCTAAAAAAAAAAAAAAAAAAAATACCCCAGCATTTTGGCGGGCACCTGTAGTTCTAGCTACTTGGGAAACTGAGGCAAGAGGATAGCATGAGCCCAAGTTTGAGGTTGCTGTGACCTATAACACCATGGCACTCTACCAAGGGCTACAAAGGGAGATTCTGCTCAAAAAAAAAAAAAAAGGAAAGAAAATGGAAAAGACAAATTAGCTGGGTGTGGTGGGACATGCCTATAATCCCAGCTACTCAGGAGTCAGAAGGATCAACTGAGCCCAGAAGCTTAAAGTTGCAGTAAGCTATGATGATGCCAGTTCCTCAAGCCCAAGTGACAGAGTGAGACATTTTCTCAAAAAATATATACATTAATTGAAGGAAAACCAGTGTTCAGTCTAACAGACAGACAAACTGAGAATAGAGTTGCGTGTAAAAGATCCCTCCTCCCACTCCTGCCGTTAGTCAGGATGTCCCAGCAGTAGGTGATGCCTTCCTGAACAAAAAGTGCCATCCCTGCTCGGAAGTCTGTTGGCCTCCTACTGATGGCCATGTCTCACTCACCATGGGTGATCCTGAAGCTTTAGTTTAAGGGAATAAAAAAAAAAAAAAATTCCTCGAAAGGGCCCCCTAGTGGAGATTTTGAAAACACAATTGGTGGGTCACATTGAAAAACGTTCCCTTGGCTCGGCGCCTATAGCTCAACCGGCTAAGGCGCCAGCCACGTACACCTAAGGTGGCGGGTTCGAATCCCCAGCCCGGACCCGCCAAACAACAATGACAGCTGCAACCAAAAAAAATAGCCGGGCGCTGTGGCGGGCGCCTGTGGTCCCAGCTACTTGGGAGGCGGAGGCAGGAGACTCGCTTGAGCCCAGGAGTTGGAGGTTGCTGTGAGCTGTAATGCCACGGCACTCTACCCAGGGGGACAGCTTGAGGCTCTGTCTCAAAAAAAAAAAAAAAAAAAAGAAAAACGTTCCCTTTGCTGGAAAATGTAAAGAGAGTAGATGTTATGTGCTGCTACCACAAAAATGCTAGCTACAGGAGGTAATCCATTTGTGAATAAGCTAGATTTAGCCAGTCCACAGTGTGTGTGTACTTCAAAACATCATGTTTTACACAATAAAAAACATACAATGTTATCTGTCCATTTAAAAATAAATTTTATATCCATCCATGCAAAAAAAAATTGTAATTTTAATGAACAAATAAAATATTTTAAATAGAAAAAAAAATTTTTTTAACTCCTTTTTACTTCAAAACTCTCACAGGAGTCAGGTATGCCTCTGAGTTGCCAAATCCCAGGCCCTACCCCTACCCCTACCCCTTGCCCTGCATCCTAATCTATTGCAAAATACAACTGCAATGTGGATTATTTGATGTTTTTCAGGACACCATTGAAATCACTGGAACTTTTAAACACCGCAAAGTGACCTTGGTGGAGGAGGGCTTTAACCCCACTGCCGTCAAAGATGCCTTATATTTCTTAGATGACACAGCAAAAATGTACGTGCCCATGACTGAGGACATTTATAATGCCATAAGTGCTAAAACTCTGAAACTCTGATTATTCCCAGGAGGATAACGCAGAATATTTCCAGAAAGAAACTGAATGGACCTAGTACAGCCACTTGATATGACTCAACTTTAATTTGATCAAAGATTGTGAGGTGCAATTTTTTCTTAGGAAATTGTGCATACCAATAAGGGGAGACTTTTTTTAATTACCACTGAACCTTTGTACGTGAAAAGATTTAGAGATAATTATTTTTCAATGTGCACCTACTGTTTGCGTGTGCAAACAGAGCCTGGTTGGAGGGAGGGTATTATTTTTTAAAACATGTAATAAAATAGATGAACACCAACATGAGACGGCTCTGTCTCTTGTTTTCTTTTCTGACTTTATTCTAAATGCAGACCCTATGTCAGTTACCCCACAGGGTGACTTTTCACTGGGGTCTCGTTCATAATGACAATGGCATTCTAGATAAAAATGGTTGAGAGGGTAAAGGTGGGGTGAAAGGGGCGAATCAGCAAAGGACAACCCAGTGGAAATCCAGACTCAGTGTAAGCAACCGTCCTCCGCACGTTGTGTGCAAACATCATACAAACATGGGGACAGCTGCTAAGCTTCAGTCACCTGAGTATTGTCATGTAAAAATATACATCAGGTACTGCTGAGATCTTCCGATTTTCCAGAAAACAGAAATCTAGATATTTACATCTACCAATTTTTAAAATCTGAATCTCAAAATGTTTTAAATTTCCATGCATCCCAAACATAAACTATCTATGGACCAGACACGTCCCAGCTCTGCAGTTAGCACCGCCTCCCAGTCCCACACACGTTGCCTGCACTGATTTAACTCCACAGCCAGTCTCCTGCCTGGGGAGCCTGGTTAAGGACTGGGGGATTTGGGTGTGGCATGGGAGGCTTTGGGAGATTCTGAGGAGCGCTTTCTCCTTACACTCAGCTGCTTCCTTCCCTTCCTTTACTCTGCATGTATGGGCTGCAACAGGGTTCCAGGAGCAGGTCCTTGGCAGCGGCACTTAAGACAACACGTGCCTTGCCTAGACTTTGTCCCAGACTGCAGGAGCATCATGGTCACTGAGTCTACATCCAGAAGGTGTGACCCAAGTTTACAACAGCCTCCCTACAAGTTTCCCTAGTGGAGTTAGTTTCCTTCCCTAGAGGACACCCTCAGATGACCAGGTGCTAATCAAGAGCCCCAATTCTCCCCCAATGTAATCCACATAAAATCCCGGGCAAACCACATCTAGGGAGTTTCAGTGATCTATGAGATGTGTCACTACCCCACCCCCAATACGTACTAGAATTTTTTTTCTTTTATCCCACTGTACATTTGAAGATACGACAAGATTTTTTTTTAACTCTTTCCATTCTTTTAGGTGACATCCAGAAGGAATCACCACTAGAATCCCTGCCCCACTCATGCCTAAAAATAAACATTTGTTAGGCAAATGTTTGCTTAATATGCATAAAGGACTTGAGGATAGCCTAAGGAAAACTGGATATGCTGCTTGTTTGTGAATTTTTCCAATAATTTAGGCCAGGGGTGGTGGCTTACCCATATAATCCCATCACTTCTGGAGGCTGAGGCCAGGAGTTCAAGACTAGCCTGGGCAGTCAGAGCGAGACAAAAAAGTTTTAAAATTAGCAGGGCATAGTGGCAGGCGCCTGTAGTCCCAGCTGCTCCAGAGGCTGAGGCAAGGGCCATCACTTGAGCCCAGCAGTTCAAGGCTACAATGATCAAACCTCTGCCTTCCAGCCTGGGTGACAGAGCAAAACTATGTGTCTAAAGAACAGATAATAATAATAATAATAACGTAGAGTCATTATTGTTTGTGGGTCAGTCCTTGGGAATTTTTGCAAAATTCTCTCTGTTTTTGCTTTATTGATCTCCCAGCAAAAATTTGAACCTGAGCAATGGGCGATAGCATACCCTTTGTTTTTGAGTACCAAGTTGTGCAATGGTTACACGGAATTTTGTCAAAGTGAATCAGGTCTTCGGCAGAGATTATGTTAAAGCAGTGTCATCATTTTGTGTAACAAGGGGTATTTTGGAGGAGGGAAAGTCAGCACTTACACTATTAATCAGAACATTAGTGTTCCATTAACCAGAGCCTGCTTGGCCCTGACAGCCTTTTTACCCATGTTTCGCACTTTCCAGTTAGAAATCTATGTCCTCGTGTCCCCTCCCTGCTTCCCTGCCTGATGGTCTCCTCAGCCTCCTCATCCCCATACCTCCCTATGTCTGGCCAGGTTCTACAGCTTCTTTGTGACAGATACAGGTGTCGGCACAATATCCTCATATCCCATGTATATAAAAAAATTAAACCATGACCTATGAGAGATCATCAACTCTAAAGACTGATTTGTCTCTTGTAAGGGGTCAGTAATCATGTGCATAGAAATATCTGCACGAGTAAGTCATCTTCACTTGAAAGTATATGTTTTAAAAAAAAAAAAAAAAACCAAAACTATATCCATCTAAATCGTTCAATAGGTCAACAGGTCTTTGATTTCAAACATATTGTCTGGAAACTTGTAATCAGTGCATAGATAGGATGCTATAGGAACCAAAATAATCTGGGGACAAAACTAGGAAATGTCAGTATCTGGAATGGAAAATGATGAGAAACAGTATAAAAATGAATAAGATCAGCCGGGCGTGGTGGTGTGCACCTGTATTCCCAACTACTGCGGAGGCTGAGACCGGGGACTGATTGAGCCCAGGAGTTGGAGTCCAGCAGCAGGGCCAACCTGAGATAATTTGTTAAAAGCATTGCTTAGTTATACATCCACTCTACAAGCATTTAGTGGATGCCTACTGTGTGCCAAGAGATGTGCTCAGCACATAGTGCTGGGTCCCACACCCTCAGAGTTGGAACTGGAATTTGCATTTCTAACAAATTGCCAGGTGAGGCTGATGCTATGGGTTGGGGGGCGCCATATTTCAGGAACCACTGGCATAGAGGGAAAGTATCCTGAGTACACATCATGGGTGTTCAGTTAGTGTAACTCAGCTCCTCAGATCTGGACTATCTCTTACTAACTCAGCTCACAGGTCTGGAGTGGCTCAAAAAGCAGTTCCTAGGAAGCCCCCAGCATCAAGAAGCACTTTGTCATCCCAAGTCTATCATTGTTCTTAGAAATTCCCATCAATTAACAGCTTGTATCTATTTACTAGATACATGAAATGTGTTATGATTTGCTGTAGCAAAACTATAAGCAATCCTAGACAGTATCTCGTCAAAACTCTTAATGTGATTAAAGAAAAAACTGAGGCCTAAGGTTCAGTGACATGCCTGAAGTCAGTCCCACAGCCCATGGGTATCACTAAGCTGTGGCCCAGCCCTTACGGAAGAGAAGGTCTTTATACACCAGTAGTTCTGAGCGTGGTCCCTGGATCAGCAGCATCTGCATCACAAGGAAACTTGCTAGTTGCACCCCACCCCTTGCCTACTGAATCAGAAACTCTGGGGTAGGCCCAGAAATTTGAGTTTTAACAAGCCCTTCTGGTGCTTCTGACACAGGCTCAGTTTGGCAATCTCAGGCTTGGAGCAATGCTTCTCAAGCACGGGAGAATCACTGGGGATGCCAGCACTTCCAGCCCACACACACCTCATTGAGCAGCAAGCAAATCTAAAACAGGGGTTCCTAGATGTCGCTGCACCTTAGAATCACCTGGAAAACTGTCAAAGCCCACAGCCCAGGCCACCCCATTCCCATTAGATCCAGATCTAACACCTATGAACCCAGCATGTTGGGAGGCCAGGGGTTTGAAACTGGGCAACATAGTGAGATGCTCCATCTCTAGAAAAAATATATATTTTTTGAGAAAGAGTCTCACTCTATTGCTGCAGTCTAAAGTGCCATGGTGTCGTAGCTCACAGCAACTTCAAATTCCTGGGCTTAAGCAATCCTCTTGCCTCAGCCTCCTAAGTAGGTGGGACTACAGGCATGCACCATGCCTGGGTAGTTTCTCTATTTTTAGTAGAGATGGGGTCTCACCCTTGCTCAGGCTGGTCTCCTACTCATGAGATCAAGCAATCCACCTGCCTTGGCCTCCCAGAGTACTAGGATTACATATGTGAGCCACCATGCATAGCCTAAAAAAATGTTTACATCATCTAGGCATGATGGTACATGCCTATAGTCCCAGCTACTTGGAAGGCAGGTAAGAAGATTGCTTGAGCCAGGAGTTTGAGATTACAGTGAGCTATGAGTACACCACTACACTTTTAGCCTGGGCAACAGAGCAAAACCCTCTCCCCCCCAAAATCCATGGGAGTGAGAGCCAGGTATCAGTATGTTTTCAAGACCTCCAGGCAATTCTAGTGTGCAGCAAGTTAAGGGATAACTGGTAGAGAAGGGGCAAATTTTGAGCTCTTGACAAAGATTCTGTCCTTCACAAACTCCAGCCAAGTTCCTCTGAGCCCTCTTCTTTATTTATTTTTTTATTTTTTATTTTTATTTTTATTTTTTTTGAGATGGAGCCTCAAGCTATCCCCCTGGGCAGAGTGCCGTGGCATTACAGCTCACAGCAATCTCCAACTCCTGGGCTCAAGCGAGTCTCCTGCCTCAGCCTCCCAAGTAGCTGGGACTACAGGCGCCCGCCACAACGCCTGGCCATTTTTTGGTTGCAGCCATCATTGTTGTTTGGCGGGCCCGGGCTGGGAATTCGAACCCGCCACCTTAGGTGTATATGGCTTTTTACTTTTTGTCATTTTTCAGATTCCTGACTCTGCCAAGTCCCTGATGACCCTCTCTCTATTCTCCCATTCTCCCTTTAAAATGCCCAGTCAAGGCTGAGCACTGTGGCTTGTGCCTATAATTCTAGCATTCTAGGAGGCTCAGGTGAGAGGATTCTTTGAGCTCTGAAGTTTGAGACCAGCCTGAGTAAGAGTGATATCCAGTCTCTACTAAAAATAGAAAAAAAGAAAAATTAACCAGGCATTGTGGGAGGCACCTGTAGTTCCTGCTACTTTGGGAGGCTGAAGCAGGAGGATCACTTGAACCCAGGAATTCAAGGTTGATGTGAGCTAGGCTAACACCACAGCACTCCAGCCTGGGCAACAGAGTAAAACTCTGTCTAGGAAAAATAAAAAGATAAAAAGTAAATAAAATGCCCAGTCACCTTTGCACAAATCCAAGTGGAGTTCAATTCACACTGGACCCTTTTCCCTACTACAATAATATATTACTGATTAAAATCTATTCTTATCACTTTCACCTGTGTCCAGATTCGCTTATTTTTAATACCCTTCATATCACCAATATCCAAGCCACTCTATAAAAGTGCCATCTGAAATGGGAAGAAAATTATTTGGGGGAGCTTCTCAACT